GCCTCGGGAATACAAGGGGGACCCCACTCCACTGTGACCCCCTTACAAGAAGGAAGGCCATGTGGCCCACTGTGTCCCCAGCCTCGGCCCAGGCCTGGCCCTGAGTAGATGGCGTAGAGGTGGAGAGAGCTGAGTGGGGCAGACCCGGTGCCAGTCACGGCCCCGCCACCGCCTGCGGAGTGGCCTTGGGCAAGCGCATCCCCTCCTCACAAGTAAAGTGGCTGATGACAGCGCCGCCGTGTGGTTTGGATTGTTGCAGGGACGGGAACGATGCATCTGAAAACTCCTAACACGCGGCCTGGCCCACAGTGAGCACGTGCTGTGGTGACTTTTAATTCATTTACAACCTTGTTGAAGGTCAAGGTGCACAGATATGAAGTGATTAAATGGTGAGAGGAGGCATTTTTTGAGTCAGAGCTAACTTGTCAAGTCCAGATACAAAGTACAAAAGGAATCAGAGGAGGGGAAGTCTAAGTCAGCGGTCGCCGACCTTTCGGACCTCAGGGACCACCAGTGTCCACGGACCACCGGTTGGCGACCACTGTTCTAAGTGGCCTGCAGTTTTTCAGCAGCGCTTAGAAAAAATAACGTCAATGTCTATCACTTATAAGTACCTACTATGCGCCAGCCACTCATCAAACCTCTACAACCACCTGAGAGGTCGATAGACCCATTTTATAGATGAGGAACCAAGTCATAGAGCAGCGGTTCTCAACCTGTGGGTCGAGACCCCTTTGGCGGTCGAACGACCCTTTCACAGGGGTCGCCGAAGACCATCCTGCATATCAGATATTTACATGACGATTCATAACAGTAGCAACATTACAGTTATGAAGTAGCAACGAAAATAATTTTATGGTTGGGTCACAACATGAGGAACTGTATTTAAAGGGCCAGGAGGTTGAGAACCACTGTCATAGAGTCTTGCTCAAGGTCACACACTTGTAAACTGGAATGAGAAGCTGCAATCACAGTGTGTGTGTTGTGGGGGGGAGGGAGGGGCGGGGGCTGGCCCCAGAGTCTCCACACTCAGCCTTTGTGCTCACTTACGCATGCTCGCAGGGCTCGGGTTGGGGCTTTGAAGTGTGACTAGAAAAGCAGCAGGAGAAGATGCTCCAGGTGAGGAAACCAGTGAAGGCTGCGGGTTAGG